GTGGTTTGTTTTTATATTACGGTCTATGTTTTATAAATAATTTCTTTGCGATATTTTAATTTATTTAGCTTGTCTACTTTTTATTTCACCAAGCGATATTTTACCTTCAGATATTCCAATAAAATTTTGTATATATTCATCTCATAATGCGTACATAGCTTTAGACATTTGATCTAATAATTGAGTAATAGTTAAATGCGTTGTTTATGTGTTAATAATAGCTCAGTTTTACCTTATGCCACTTTTAAATTTAAAAGCATAAATATCAAGAAGATAGTTCGGGAGACACTACAATATTTTAAAACTATTTGGACACTTTGTACACCTCACGGATCTGATGATCCTTGATTTATTTAGGACTGCTGTGCGTGTATGTATGTAATTATTGCGTTGAAATATTTGAGGCAGCTGAAACAGAGAAGTAACACAAATGTTCTAGAATTTTGTAAAGTTACTTCATCTGTTGCAACCGCAGTAGCTTTCTCTTGTTTCTTCCTTTCTTTCTCAGTTACAGATGTTGAATTTATGGTTTAATATAATTCTTCCAAAAAGCGATCCATCATCAGGCAACTATGCCTGGAACTTTCTGCCATTGATGTGGATACTGTGGAAGAGCTCTTTGTTTGCTTCATTCTTTTGTTTTCTTTCATTTTTCTTCCTTCTTATTTATTTTTACTTTCCTTTCTGTCGATACTTTAACCCTCAGGCGATTTTCGAGAACAAGTTTCAACCTTTGATGCGCTGTTTCAAAAGATGAGAAATTTGTGGTGACTTAAAATCACAACATTGTATGTGTAATGGTCCTGTTCTTTTTTTTTATTTCAATCCTCTTGGCTTGCGTTTGACGGCAAACATGTGGAAATGTATTCGTTCGCTGGCACATTCAGAAATAGACTGGCGAGTTATCTCAAAGAATTGCCTAGCTCTTATGCGAACGTCCTTGGGTAGACGACCCTGAACTTCGGTTTGAAGTTTGGTTATACTGGGAATGTACTAAACAAAATTAAATGTATCCAAAATTTGTATTTCAGATCTACGATATAAAGTTTTATCTAAGCACATTTGTTGGTTTCGGATTTGAAATATTATGAGTGACACACGGAAACTTCCTGCGAATTACAGGATCATGTTATACACTCAAAATTATTTTATGTAATGTATCTCAAAATAAAATTCTTCTTGTCATGGTTTTTGAAAAAGGCTACGCCGACGTTTTGTGAAATTTCGACATTGATTGACCGCAAGTAGTAGTGAACTACAGAATAACTGACAAGTAAATTGGAATGTGAAATAACAAATGCGAGGCTTGCGTATGTATTTCTTGCTGAGTTGATTAAACCCGCTAATACAGGAAATGGAAGACGTCGTTACTATGGAGAAGAATGTCTGAGAACTAAATGAACATGGGCTTATTTAAAATGCTCGCTGCGACACGCTGTGTACAGATTGTTGGTGGTTTGGAGCCCAATGAAATTACGACTGAATCAGAGGTTTGCGGGAACTGGAATATGGAATTTCTGCCACTCTGCATGTGGGCGTAGCTGTTTTCAAAATGCACGGGTGACGAAAGATGAATATTGACTTTCATTAGACATAACCACATAGACATGAATCATTGAGCCTTCTGCGAAATTCGTGGGTTCATTACTATAGGCTATTGGATTATTTAACGTTATTGACACCTGAAGACCGCCACCAAGCTGTTGGCACGCGTCTGAGGTCCCGGGTTCAAATGTTGGATCGTAGACCGGGTATCATTAGCCTGTTAAAGATTATCTTAAGTTCATCCATTCAAATCCTCGGATAGACCGACGACCACTTCCTTACACATCCTTCCCAATTCACTGTTTATAATCATGCTATGGTTGATGTTCTGACGCCGTGTAGACTCATAGGTAGATGTTAATTTTGAAGAAACGTGCTGTATCCATCTTTAGGGGTGAAATTTACGTTATTGGTTTATATCATCCGCTGATTTTTATAAGTGTGTGTGTGTTTCGTGTTTTACTTTCCCTGTGTGTGAAATAAAATCCCAAATTCGACAGCCATGCCTGTGATAATTTAAAACATTGACACAGGGGAAGTTGCTTTGTAAGGGTACACGGTTTTTCTCATGTAGTTATTAGTTTCTGCAGCAGAAATTAACTCTGTGTTGGTAGTGATCCTTTCTACGAAAGTTCATCGCAAAGAGATAAGACAAAGAAACGGTATGTGGTATGTGAGGGTAATTCGTGAGTTTTGTTTGTTTCAGCGCGGGCGGCCCAAAAAGAGTCCACGGGGAACACACTCGAATTCTCCGGCTCTCGGACTGGTCCGCATTTTGACAAAGTGGCTTCTAAGAACGTCACCGCTCTGCTGGGGAAGACAGCTTACCTCAACTGCAGAGTGAAGAACCTCGGCAACAAAACGGTGAGTACTCTCAGCGAGTACCCAATGCATTCCTATAGAACGTGTTAATAATGTCTGAATGTTTTATTCACTAAATTTTTGCTGCTGTTTGGGGCTCGGGGTACTTGTTCTGTACTCGGGAGGTCCGCTCCGGAGACAGGCTATTTTGACTTAAGGCTTTCCGTCCTTCAGTCCGCCCGGGCAAATATCACTTTAATTATGTCACGACCACTTCCTTCCACTTTCTTTCGAATTAATTATCTACTTATTATCCTTTTACTGCGGTGAGTGCGAAGATGGCTGTCTTCCTGGTTATAATGTTGTTTAGTCTGGTAGGAGTTTCCCGACGTTTCAGGGAGTCTTGTTGCCTGCATCACCAGGGCCTATAACCCAGAAGATAACCATTTCACTTATTATCCTATCATTCGATGCAGTATAGTCTGAGTTACTGGCAGCATTGTCATATAAACCAGAAATTAATAAATTAATAGAAACTATCATAAATAAACTCCCCTAGGCGCCCTGCAGTGAAAACCGAGAGATGTTAATTTATATCAGTAGTGAAAATTTAACAGATATAACTGACAAATTAAGCCTCTTTCAACCGCAAGAATATTTAAGAGACAAATTGAGATTATTTCAGATTGATATGAAGCTCCACATTTGATAACCATAATCTTATATAGTAACATCGTTCTAAATTTTATCTAAATTTATTTAGGTCTGATAGAAATATGTGCAGAAGCAAAATAAAACAGGTGATAGGGAGTAGAATGAGGAAGCGTGGGTGAAGGAAAAGAGTAAGAAAAGAAAAGTTTAAGTGATGCGATCCTCGTGAATTATTCATTGCCTCTTAGGATGATGGCTGGCGAGAAATACGCTGCAGAACGCTGCCTGAGGTGCAGTGCGCTTGCGCAACCAGAAGCCTAATTATATTTCCTGGTCTCTAAATTAAAGCGAGAGTTATAATGAAGCGGATCCTTCTTCTTTGAATTTAATATTTAAAAACTTCGTATTTTCCTTAGAAATTTTGCTTCAAAAACGAATTAAATTGCTAAAAGTATTATTTGATCCCAAATTTATGAATTTTCAGTTCTGGGAAATACCACTGGCATATGTCTTTAAGGAGGTCCAAGAAACTCAGGAAGCGTTGGGCTAAAATGTAACACTCCAGCTCCTGATCTATTCTGGTGATGTTTTTCACTGGACTGAATCATAAAATAAAATTATAGAGACTTTAATTGAATTTAACACATCTAGAAATAAATGAAGAATCTTTGCTAAATGTTTCTGTTTCGAGATCATCGGTTGTAACGTCATTTTAGAGGTTTTTGGCCATCTTGAAGTCATCATTACATTATTCGCCTTCAAGAAGAATGGTATGGGAGAATACGTCCAAGAAGAAAGAAGTTTTTCACAAACGTATTCTGTTGGACGACTGTGGGCAAACTTTTAACTAACGTCCTGCGTGACATGTCCTCTTACTTTCGGCTGTGCATTCATCAGTGGCTGTGATATTTGGGTTGACTTCTTGCGAGCGACACTTTAGAGAAGACGTAGGATGATAGAGTGCTCCATCAATAGCATTCTGCGTGAAGCAACGACACATACATCAAACTTCGATACACATTGAACCCCTTCCACTATGGACAAGCAAGCTTCTTCAGGATAATAGCTAGAGGTTCCCTACAACATGTCTGCAAACACACTGCACACTGGGGTAGTCAAATTTTCAATATTCAAACGTAAACCCGAAAGTCACTGTATAATACTTAGCTCCAAGCAGATTAGTGTAGCGGTGATGTTCAAAATTTACACCCCCAAGGTAAGAGATTCGATTTTATGCCAGGTAACTAATTTTGAATGAGTAGGATTTGAAGGTGTTACGACGGCGAATATGAACATGGCTGTCCTTAACGTTGTTGCGCCGTGTAGTCTGGTAGAATCTTACCGACGTTTCAGTAGTACTTGCCGCCTTCATTATCATGGCGATTAACGTCGGTAAACTTCTATTACAGAACACAGCGTTCCAAACCAGAAGACATCCATCTTATCTTGATTGAGTTTCTTAGTGATTTCCGTCAGAGTCTCGAGGCGAATACCATTACCACTTCTTCTTGTACCCTTATTTTTTAACAATATCAGTTGTAGTCTTCAGACTTGTCATACCTTGTAGTTTTCACCCCTGAAATTAGAAGACCACAACAATAATTCAAACGTTTTACTGAACTTTGTGGACGTAGAATAAAAACGTGTTGCAATTTGTGAATTTCGTATTTTATATTGCAATTTATTGTAGAGCTGATTAAAATGACACAACTTGAACATTCGGTTTGGAAGAAACATTTCATTAACAGTTAGCAGGAGACTCCAATGATTAGAAGTCTCAGACAGTAAACTGCATCGTTAAATGAACAGCCCAGTCAATATTGACCTTCCACCGTATAATGCTTTACTTTATGATCGCATCTCAGATTAGGATGAGAATTTATGCCCCACAAAAGAAGTTTGTATAAACTGCTTCTTTATTGTAACAGTAAATCATATTACAATCAGTTTCACTAAACTTTTACTGCTTTCTGCCTAGCTATTACTTTAAACTTATGATGGTTTTAGAACAATAAAACTTTGCACTTTGAAATCTTCAAGTTGTTTACGTTTGTAAATATACTAATTACTTTTCTCTTACATCATAAGTTTTTATATGATTATTCTCCGTATTATATCATATTATGTGATATTAAAATAAGTTAGAGAGTTGTGACAGTGCAAATTTATTCTAGCTTCTTTTAAATCAAATGCTTGTCTATAAAGTACATACATATCAAAAACTATCGGCCTACTACAATAAGAATTATATAAGTCTGTGATCAATTTCTGTAAATATTTTATTCTCTAGTGTAGATTCCGACAAGGTTAAATTTGTTTCGCATTTAATCCTTACCTTTATTTGTTAACGCACAAATATTGTTAAAGAATTTGTCGTCATGTTGATATCTGATCTCTAAATAAAATTTCTCATTCCCATTTCTAGCGGTTCATTAGTTATATACTCCTATGAAATCAAAAACAACACAAACATTTGTCGTTTAACGTGTCACTTTATTTCTTTGTTGAAGACTTATTACCGCATCAAATTTACGCTAGAATCTCTTACACGTAATAAGTGTGAAAGATCTTAACTTTGGTATTTGAACGGCTTTATGTAGAATGAAAAATTAATTTTCAATAAAATATTTTATGTATTAAATTATTTAAAGAAATTACATGGACGTGCACAATAAAAGGATACCTGAAGAATATATTTTAGGATAAGGAAAGAGGTAAAATTTTATATCCTAAACACTGTTCTTCACTATTTGGGATTATTTTATGATAATTCCACGTGCATTCTGAACTGTCAGCATTTATTGCAGACGGATCGTCTGGAGCATTTGCTTTTGGTTAGAATCTTCAATATGTTGGGCTGGGTAATTTGAATTCTGGAAGCGTCTGATTCCAGATATCAGCAACAAACTTTGCCGTCTGGTTTATTTACACTTGTAAGTCCAGAGGGGTTGATCGTCAGTAGACTAAATTTCTGCATTGTAGTAGAGCGATAGTACTCTCTCCTTTGGTCACAGAAGTTTGTAAACTTCCATCAGTATCAGATACCATGAACACTTATTAAAATTTTCCAATACATTTTACTTTGAAAAAATATATCACTTATTTAAACGAGTTTGTGTCTTTTTTTGCGACTGAGTTCAGTGCAAAAACTTCGTCTTTCGGGAATAACTAGTCTGGAATGTTGAGAATTATCCAACATTACTTCAAACATGCATTTGCCATCTTCAGGGCTAGTTGTGATTGGACGTTTTTGAAGGCCTTGAACACATGCTCATCTCTTTCGCTCGAGCAATCAGCGCTATCAAATTTAACTCACCATCTCCTGCCTTCCCTATCTAAGGCTTCCAAAAACGTCCAACTATTACATAATCATGTAGGATTTGAGGTTTTCGGAGCGGTGAGTATGAAGATTTCTGTCTTCTGGATTGTTGCGCTGTTTAGTCTGGTCGATGTTTACTAACGTTTCAGAGGTCATACTGCCTCCGTCATCAGGGCGATTAAAAATATGAAGATTTCTGTCTTCTGGGTTGTTGCGCTGTTTAGTCTGGTCGATGTTTACTAACGTTTCTGAGGTCATACTGCCTACGTCATCAGGGCGATTAAAAATATGAACATTTCTGTCTTCTGGGTTGTTGCGCTGTTTAGTCTGGTCGATGTTTACTAACGTTTCTGAGATCATACTGCCTACGTCATCAAGGCGATTAAAAATATGAAGATTTCTGTCTTCTGTGTTGTTTCGCTGTGTAGTCTGGTAGGTGTCCGCCAACGTTTCAGAGGTCATACTGCCTCCGTCATCAGGGCGATGAATTTATCACTTCCACCTTGAAGATTATTTTTTTATGGGATATTGCTTACTGTCTCCGAAACGTCGGTCAATATCTACGACACAACGCAGCGAAACTTCCAATAAGGCAGTCGTCTTGATAGCCACCTCCTCGAGAACCTGAAATCTCACATCGAATATGTGTTTACTGCGGATGTGTGATATGAGAAATAAATATTTTAATTATTTTAGTTCGGTTTATTTAAAAATTCTTAGGGAGTGAACGGGTGCTTTGGCTAGACTAACTTAAAAATAATTTCATATTTTTTTAACGCTCACTTTGACTTTTATTCGAATCATTCTAAGAGTCGGTAAGGGGTTGCAGAGAAGGCCTGTCTTATTGGAGGGGAATAGAATGTGGGCGGGGCGACAGTTTATTCAGTTTTTGTACCTTCTTTGACTCGCAAACTCTCGTATTTTGTACTTTGTGTCAGCATCTCTCGCGATATTACATCTACAAGATAGAGTTAAAAGCTCAAGAAAGGCGGTAGGAGTTTGCTTCGGCGCCACTAAGACCAGAAACAATTTTTGAACCGATCTTATATACAGTACGGCACTTAAAGGAAGAGGGGAACAGGTTATGTAATAT